TTCTCAGAAAGTTTTAAACTGTCAAGAGGAGTGAAACAAGGTTGTCCACTATCGGCATATCTATTTATTGTGGCCATCGAGATGTTAGCTATTAAAATCAGATCCAATAATAATATCAGAGGATTAGAAATACAGGGCTTAAAAACAAAGGTGTCATTGTACGCAGATGATTCATGTTTTCTTTTAGATCCACAACTAGAAATCCCTCCACAGCCTCATAGAGGATCTAGATACATTTTCTAACCTCTCTGGATTAAAACCAAATTATGACAAATGTACTATATTACGTATTGGATCACTAAAAAATACAATTTTTACATTACCATGTAGTTTACCAATTAAAATGGTCTGATGGTGATGTAGGATATACTCGGAATACATATCCCAAAGGAAAATAAATGATCTCACTTCAATAAATTTTAATAGAAAGTTAGCAAAAATAGATAAGATCTTACTACCATGGAAAGGAAAATACCTGTCAATTTGTGGAAAAATCACCCTGATTAACTCTTTAGTATTATCCCAGTTTACCTATTTGCTTATGGTCTTGCCTACGCCTAGCAAACAGTTTTTTAAATTATATGAGAAAAAAATATTCAATTTTATTTGGAACGGCAAGCCAGACAAAATTAAAAAGAGCATATTTATATAATGAATATGAATTCGGAGGACAGAAATTATTAAATATTAAAGCATTAGACCTATCACTAAAATCTTCAGTCATCCAAAGTTATACTTAAATCCGAACTGGTTCTCAAGCAAATTAGTAAGATTGGTCTCACCCACTGTTCAAGAAAGGCCTTTTTTCCCTTTATTCAGATTACAACCTCTCACTTTCAGTTATTTGAAAAGGAAATAATCTCCCAAATGTCACTATTTCTAAAACAAGCCATAGAAAGTTGGTTGCAATTTCAATTTAATCCTCCAGAAACGACCAGAACAAATAATGCAACAAATATTGTGGTTAAATTCAAATATACTAATTGACAAAAAACCTTTATTTTTGACAGAATGTTTTAAAAAAGGTATAATCTCGTAAATGATATCATCGGTAGGACTGGTGGAGTTATGTCGCACATGCAGCTAACAAAAACATATGGAAATGTCTGCCTCTACCCAGAATTACAACCAAATAATTGCAGCCTTACCGCAAAAGTGGAAGAGGAAAGTTGAAGGGGGAGAAAGTAAGGAACTTGTCTGTCGGCCTTGCATTAAAGAACATAATTGGTTAAGGAAAACTGTGATAAATAAAAAAGTATATCAGTTTCACTTAAGGACCAAAGGATTGACAGCCGTCCCATATAGATTGCAAAATAGTTGGGAAGAGATCTTTGACGTACCGATCCCATGGCATAGTGTTTATGAACTGACACGCAAAACGACACCGGATTCAAAAATTAGAATCTTTCAATTTAAATTATTATATAAAATTCTTGCTACCAATAGAATGTTATTTATATGGGGGATACAATCTTCCCAGCTCTGCAGATTTTGCTGTGAAGAGATAGAATCATTAGATCATTTGTTTGGTTCTGTCCATTTGTAGCTTGTTTTTGGACACAGGTCCAGGAATGGCTAAAGGATTGCAATATTTACTTGGAACTAACCTTGCAGATAGCATTACTGGGTGATCTGAAAAGTCATAGTCAATCAATCAATAATATAATAATACTTTTAGCAAAAATGTTTATTTTTAATTCACAATCTGTAGAAGCAATGAGAATAGAAAGGTTCAAGAACTTTTGTAAAACATCACAGTACGGTTTGAAATATATATGGCAAATAGAAATCCTATATGGATGGTGTTAAGAGATAGATGGGAGGTATTGAATAGAGTTGAAGGATGGGACTAATAACAAATAACAACAAATAATAACAAAGATAGCTAATAATGTAAGCATACTGTGTCCATAATAAGTATATAGGTTGTATGTTGGGAGCTTTTGGGAAAGAGCACAGTTAGAAAGATATGGCATTTAGAAGCAAACCGGATGGACATCATGAAAATGATCGGAGAGGTTGAGAGTAGAAGAAGTTCAGGAGCAAAAAAATAAATATATATATATATATATATATATATATATATATATATATATGATATATATATATATATATATATATATATATATATATAGATATAGAATTACTGTAAAATTAACTCTGTCCATAAGGTGTAGATAGTAAGTATAGACCGGAAGTAGAGGCCTGGGCGTTGTTGTTCACTAATTTACTCCAAGTAGGGAAAGGATGGTGGGGTTGAAAAGTAATAAAGGGGAATATATATATAAAAAAAATTAAAAAAAACATGGGGGATTGGAAGTGATGCAGACAATTACATTGATAGAAGATACAATCTATCTGCAATATTAAGCTGATTCATCCCCCCAAAGAAAAAAAAAAAAAAAAAAAACATTAGCAAGGTAATCAAAATATCTGTTTGCATTTATTGATTTAACCTCGACTTGAATACCACTATATAGCTAGGTTTGTTCACATACACTTCTTCTGACAGGCAGCATGGGGCAAGCAGCTGTATTGTTTCCGAGCATCTGATCCCAGTGTTCGAACTCTGAAATTCGGCTGAAAAAAAGATGTTAGCGTTGTCAGAAATGCTACAAAAAGGTAGCACATCGTTGGTTCTTAACGGACAGAAATGAACACGTGAGTGCGATTTTATATTATACATGTAATAACTTTTGCACCTACAACTTTAGTCAATCCGGCATTATTTTTTATCCAATGGTTTTACTTTATGGACGCTATAGTCTTGTTTTTAATCCTATGTCTAGAATTTGAGCTAGCTCAACAAATGTGGCGTAAGAAATACTGTTAATCAATTGCTAACAACCGTTAAAAAAAATCTGGTATGTGGTTCTCTGTAACAGCCGGATGGCTCCAAGTTGATTTGAGAGATTGGTGTCCTATTGGTTTAGATATGATTCTTCTTCGGTTTTATGGCAAACTACAACTCAAAGGTGTATTACCGCCATCAACTGGACGGGGTTGAAAAAAACCAAGGTAAAAATAAAACCCATACGTGATAGGGAAAACTAACTTAATCCACCCAAAAGACTTCTCAGCTTCTCCCTTCTGCAAACACTTGAAACATGTCCAAAAGCTTTACAATGATCACACTGCATTGGTCTTGAGATAGATGCTCTGACTCTGTAGTTAATATACCCAAACTGCACTTGAGTTGGGAGAGACTCCATATCAAAAAAACAAAAGAACAGATACTCTTCACTTTTTCATCACTCACCACATGATTCATCCGACGAGCATCAATCACTGCAGGAATATTTTTCCATCTCTGCAGCATCGACTTCCCACGAAACGCCAGATATTACCTCCTTGAGGGGTGCCCTGTTCCGAAGAGACACACAGGACACGGCAAACTTCTCAAATCCTGTGAGACGCGACACACGCTCCTTCTGATCCTCAGAAGAACAAAAAATCTAAACAAGCCCGCCTCTCGTGATCCTCACAGCCTTCACTTTACCCAGCGCACTCTCCACCAGTTTGGATATCTCAAATGGATTCTTCAAGATTGGTAATCCAATCAGCTGCTCCTCATTAACAAAACATACTCCTACAAGATAAGAAGGGACATTATCATCACTCTATGCTACTTTGATCTGTTTTCTATTCTTTTGGACAATATTCCAAAGGAGGGAAACCTGTTCCCCATCAGGAGACTGAAAAGATTTGGCATGGGTCCTCAGATCCTCAAAAGGTTCTACAGCTGCACCATCGAGAGCATCCTGACTGGTTGCATTACTGCCTGGTATGGCAACTACTCGGCCTCCGAGTACTATTTGCGCTGCTACTCTCTGTTTATCTATGCATAGTCACTTTAATAACTCTACCTACATGTACATATTACCTCGACTAACCGGTGCCCCCGCACATTGACTCTGTACCGGTACCCCCTGTATATAGCCTCGCTACTGTTATTTTACTGCTGCTCTTTAATTATTATTTTTTTGTGTAGGTATTCTTTCTTAAAACTGCATTGTTGGTGAAGGGCTTGTAAATAACAATTTCACTGTAAGGTCTACACCTGTTGTTGTATTCGGCGCATGTTACAAACCAAAATTTTATTCAAATTCTCCTTGATTTTTCCCCGCCATTATATTCACACATCAGCGTCCGCCATCTTTTTCATCCCTTTCTACTCCTATTGTGAGGTTTCTCGACTCCTGCGCTGTTCTCCGACCCTTTTAGATATGGTCTTATATAGTCTTATCTATAATGGAAATTCCTGTGTTGACTTAAAAAAATTGTTTTAAATAATTGGGGAGTGAATCCGAATAGTTTTACAGTCATCAAGGACTCCAGGCGAGGGATCTTTTGCAAATGTGTAACATTAAAAGTCAAAGTCAATATGTGTTAATTTAAATGGCTAGTTGCGGGACGAAGCTATCAAAAGTGTGGCGAACACCTTTTTTACAACGTGTAATTGTTTTGGCAAGACAAGTGAATAACTTATTTTGTGAGATAATGTAAAAAAATGAGTCTACTGCTATGCCCCTTAATGTAGCCATATGAGTTCATTAATAATATAATATGGCATTTAGAAGACGCTTTTATCCAAAGCAACTTACAGTCATGCGTGCATACATTATTCTTTTTTTGTGTATGGGTGGTCCCGGGGATCGAACCCACTACCTTGGCGTTACAAGCGCCGTGCTCTACCAGCTGAGCTACAGAGGACCAGTCAGTGTAGGTTAATGTTGACGTGATGTGACTATTGCAGATTCCTTCCTAGGGGATGAGGCGTCTGCCCTGAATGCAGGAGCAAAGCCTACTAACCAATAGCCTCTTCTCTTCTCTTCACAGGCGCCTACACTGGACAGGACAAATCTTGCTGTTCCCCAATGCTGACATTATATCCCCAGTCTCTCTGAACAAACTTTAATTCAGTCTGTAAAAGTCTATCTACCTACACCCCACTACTAAACCAACCAGCCCTAACCAAATCTGCACCTCTGAAACCCAAGATGTCTACTAGACAAAACACCCTAATGGCTGCGGTGGTCACCCTGTTGGGGGTCACCTTCGGGGGTCTGGTGTTATGGCGACAACGAACAACGAGGACACTGAAGAAGAAGCAGCAGCTTCTGGCTCAGGGTCAGATAGGGGTTAGCTCTGGTCCCTTACCAGTGGATCAGCTGGGTCCTGTGGAACCAGAGCCTGTGGTTGTGGAGCCAGTCGAGTCCCAGACTCGGCTACCCCCGGGTCAGAGCCTGGGCCTCCTGCCTGTTTCACTGCCCCCTGCTGACCAGGTCCTGGCGGTGCAGCCTGTGATGGTGAGCTCTGAGGAGGATTGGGAGCAGCTGTGGCCGTCACTGCAAAAGGAGCTATCCGTCTACCCTGTCCTCGGGCTGGACTGCGAATGGGTAAGAGTCTGGGCGTAGGAGTTCGTTTTGCATGTAAAAAAAATAATATATTTCCATTGGTCCTCGAGTCTATTTCCTGTCCTCCCCTGACGTAGTCTCCCTCCCTCCTTCCTCCCTTCCATCCTCTCCCTCCCTCCCCAGGTGTCAGAGAAGGGTAAGACGTCAGCGGTCTCCCTTCTCCAGATGGCGTCCTACTCTGGCCTGTGTGTGTTGGTGAGGCTGCGGCTGTTCCGAGGTCGCCCGCAGGACCTTCCCCTCAGCTTGAAGGAGGTATATTGTCCTCCGTGGCTCAGTTGGTAGAGAATGATGGGTTTTAATTCCAGTACAGTGGGTTCGATTCCCGCTGGGGCCACCAATATTACAATTATGTATTTTGGATAGATGTCATATATTCTGTTTATTGTTAATGATATTATTATATAGGTCCTCAGGGACCCTCATGTCCTGAAGGTGGGCTTGGGTTGTTATGAAGACGGGAAACGTCTGACCCGAGACTACGGCCTGGCTCTGGGGTGTACCGTGGATCTGCGATACCTCGCACTACGACAAAGGTACCACTAGAGATGGGCTATTATGGGCTCTGGTAAGACTAGGTTGATGGTCAATCAGTACTATAATAATACGCTTAGTAAAAATGTTTTAATTTACGATCTGTAGAAACTATGAGAATAGAAAGGTTCAGAACATTTGTGAAACATTACAGCACAGTGGAAAAAATATATGGCAAATAGAACTCAAAACTGTATGGTGTTCAGAGATAGATGGGAGGGGTTGAGTGGAGCTGAAGGGTGGGACTAAAAACTAAAATATACTATGTCTGTGAAATGTAGAAGCCTAAGTATTGTGGTCCATTAGTTTACTCCAATTAGGGGAGGGGTGGTAGGATTAGGGGAAAATAATAATATATTTATAAAAGCTGTTCTACACCCTAAAGAACAAAAACAAATTACTAGGTTGTCTGTTTTAATCAACCATTTACCCTCAAAGTGTCTCTGTGTGTCTCAATTCAATTTAAGTGGCTTTATTGGCATGGGAAACATGTTTACATTATTATTATTATTATTTTTTTCACCTTTATTTAACCAGGTAAACCAGTTGAGAACAAGTTCTCATTTACAACTGCGACCTGGCCAAGATAAAGCAAAGCAGTGCGATAAAAACAACAACACAGAGTTACATATGGGGTAAAACAAAACAGTCAAAAATACAACAGAAATAAATATATATACAGTGTGTGCAAATGTAGCAAGTTATGGAGGTAAGGCAATAAATAGGCCATAGTGCAAAATAATTACAATTAGTATTAACACTGGAATGATAGATGTGCAAGAGATGTGCAAATAGAGATACTGGGGTACAAATGAGCAAAATAAATAACAATATAGGGATGAGGTAGTTGGGCGGGCTAATTTCAGATGGGCTGTGTACAGGTGCTCTGACAACTGATGCTTAAAGTTAGTGAGGGAGATAAGAGTCTCCAGCTTCAGAGATTTTTGCAATTTGTTCCAGTCATTGGCAGCAGAGAACTGGAAGGAATGGCGGCCAAAGGAGGTGTTGGCTTTGGGGATGACCAGTGAGATATACCTGCTGGAGTGCATACTACGGGTGGGTGTTGCTATGGTGACCAATGAGCTAAGATAAGGCGGGGATTTGCCTAGCAGTGATTTATAGATGGCCTGGAGCCAGTGGGTTTGGCGACGAATATGTAGTGAGGACCAGCCAACAAGAGCGTACAGGTCACAGTGGTGGGTAGTGTATGGGGCTTTGGTGACAAAACGGATGGCACTGTGATAGACTACATCCAATTTGCTGAGTAGAGTGTTGGAGGCTATTTTGTAAATGACATTGCCGAAGTCAAGGATCGGTAGGATAGTCAGTTTTACGAGGGCATGTTTGGCAGCATGAGTGAAGGAGGCTTTGTTGCGAAATAGGAAACCGATTCTAGATTTAACTTTGGATTGGAGATTCTTAATGTGAGTCTGGAAGGAGAGTTTCCAGTCTAACCAGACACCTAGATATTTGTAGTTGTCCACATACTCTAGGTCAGACCCGCCGAGAGTAGTGATTCTAGTCGGGTGGGTGGGTGCCAGCAGCGTTCGATTGAAGAGCATGCATTTAGTTTTACTAGTGTTTAAGAGCAGTTGGAGGCTACGGAAGGAGTGTTATATGGCATTGAAGCTCGTTTTGGAGGTTTGTTAACGCAGTGTCCAATGAAGGGCCAGATGTATACAAAATGGTGTCGTCTGCGTAGAGGTGGATCTGAGAGTCACCAGCAGCAAGTGAAATAGATGATAAACAAAAGTAAAATAACTTTTTTTTTTTTTTTTTACAATAAACATTGTGGCAACAGGTCACATCTTGCTGCTGTGATGGCACACTGGGGTATTTCACCCAATAGATATGGGAGTTTATCAAAATTGGATTCGTTTTCGTATTCTTTGTGGGTCTGTGTAATCTGAGGGAAATATGTGTCTCTAATATGGTCATACATTTGGCAGGAGGTTAGGAAGTGCTGCTCAGTTTCCACCTCATTTTGTTGTGGGCAGTGTGCACATAGCCTGTCTTCTCTTGAGAGCCAGGTCTGCCTACGGCAGCCTTCTCAATAGCAAGGCTATGCTCTCTGAGTCTGTACATAGTCAAAGCTTTCCTTAAGTTTGGGTCAGTCACAGTGGTCAGGTATTCTGCCACTGTGTACTCTCTGTTTAGGGCCAAATATCATTCTAGTTTGCTCTGTTTTTTTGTAAATTCTTTCCAATGTGTCAAGTAATTCTCTTTTTGTTTTCTCATGATTTGGTTGGGTCTAATTGTGTTGTTGTCCTGGGTCTCTGTGGGGTCTGTTTGTGAACAGAGCCCCAGGACCAGCTTGCTTAGGGGACTCTACTCCAGGTTAATCTCTCTGTAGGTGATGGCTTTGTTATGGAAGGTTTGGGAATCACTTCCTTTTAAGTGGTTATAGAATTTAACGGCTCTTTTCTGGATTTTGATAATTAGCGGGTGTCGGCCTAATTCTGCTCTGCATGCATTATTTGGTGTTTTACGTTGTACACTGAGGATATTTTTGCAGAATTCTGCATGCAGAGTCTCAATTTGGTGTTTGTCCCATTTTGTGAATTCTTGGTTGGTGAGCGGACCCCAGACCTCACAACCATAAATGACAATGGGTTCTATAACTGATTCAAGTATTTTTAGCCTGATAAATATCCTAATTGGTATGTCAAATTTTATGTTCCTTTTGATGGCATAGAAGGCCCTTCTTGCCTTGTCTCTCAGATCGTTCACAGCTTTGTGGAAGTTACCTGTGGCGCTGATGTTTAGGCCGAGGTATGTATAGTTTTTTGTGTGCTCTAGGGCAACGGTGTCTAGATGGAATTTGTATTTGTGGTCCTGGCAACTGGACCTTTTTTGGAACACCATTATTTTTGTCTTACTGAGATTTACTGTCAGGGCCCAGGTCTGACAGAATCTGTGCAGAAGATCTAGGTGCTGCTGCAGGCCCTCCTTGGTTGGTGACAGAAGCACAAGATCATCAGCAAACAGTAGACATTTGACTTTGGATTCTAGTAGGGTGAGGCCAGGTGCAGACTGTTCTAGTGCCCTCGCCAATTCATATATATTAGACAGACAGACAGGTTGAAGAGGGTGGGGCTTAAGCTGCATCCCTGTCTCACCCCACGGCCCTGTGGAAAGAAATGTGTGTTTTTGCCCATTTTAACCGCACAATAATAATAAATAATATGCCATTTAGCAGACGCTTTTATCCAAAGCGACTTAGTCATGCATGCATAAATTTTTGTGTATGGGTGGTCCCGGGGATCGAACCCACTACCCTGGCGTTACAAGCGCCGTGCTCTACCAGCTGAGCTACAGAGGACCACACTTGTTGTTTGTGTACATTGATTTTATGTCGTATGTTTTTCCCTCCAACACCACTTTCGATCAATTTATATAGAAGACCCTCATGCCAAATTAAGTCAAGGCTTTTTTTTTTTTTTTTTTACAAAGCATGAGAAGACGTGTGTGCGGGGTGAATACGTGGTCTGTCGTACGGTAATTTGGTAAAATTTAGTAAAAAGCCCATTTTGAAATTTGCTCAGTATGTTGTTTTCACTGAGTAAATGTACGAGTCTGCAGTTAATGCAGAGGTTTTTCCCAAGGTTGCTGTTGACGCATATCCCACGGTAGTTATTGGGGTCAAATTTGTCTACACTTTTGTGGATTGGGGTGATCAGTCCTTGATTCCAAATATTGGGGAAGATGCCAGAGCTAAGGAGCACTTTACCCTCTGCCTGAAATTGAAGGATTTCTGTATGGAGATTGTCAAAAAACGGATCATCATAATATGATGAATCTGAAGGAGGAGCATAAGCTGCACATATCTATACATCATTGTCGCAATAGATTGTACCTTTAAGTTTTAGCCAAATGTGGCTAGTACCTTTTTTCATTTCATTCAGTGCTAAGTCCTGCTTATGCCAAATGATGATTCCTCCTGAGTCTCAGCCCCGTTTAACATTTTTATGTTTGCTTGATGGTAGTAAACTTTCTCTATAGCCTGAGGGACACTGAGTATCAATGTCTCCACAATACCATGTTTCCAGGAGGATTATGATGTCCAGTCCCTTGATGTTTTTAATCAATTCTGGATTTGTTGTTTTAGAACCAAAATGTGACGAGTACAGGCCCTGGATATTCCAAGAGCTGATAGTTAATGATCTAATTTATAATAAGTGATATTCACTGGTTTGACTAAAGTACATTTAATTTTTTTAAATATAATAATAAAAATAAACTATATATACACTGCTCAAAAAAATAAAGGGAACACTAAAATAATATATCCTAGATCTGAATGAATGAAATAATCTTATTAAATACTTTTTTCTTTACATAGTTGAATGTGCTGACAACAAAATCACACAAAAATTATCAATGGAAATCAAATTTATCAACACATGGAGGTCTGGATTTGGAGTCACCCTCAAAATTAAAGTGGAAAACAACACTACAGGCTGATCCAACTTTGATATAATGTCCTTAAAACAAGTCAAAATGAGGCTCAGTAGTGTGTGTGGCCTCCACGTGCCTGTATGACCTCCCTACAACGCCTGGGCATGCTCCTGATGAGGTGGCGGATGGTCTCCTGAGGAATCTCCTCCCAGACCTGGACTAAAGCATCCGCCAACTCCTGGACAGTCTGTGGTGCAACGTGGCGTTGGTGGATGGAGCGAGACATGATGTCCCAGATGTGCTCAATTGGATTCAGGTCTGGGGAACGGGCGGGCCAGTCCATAGCATCAATGCCTTCCTCTTGCAGGAACTGCTGACACACTCCAGCCACATGAGGTCTAGCATTGTCTTGCATTAGGAGGAACCCAGGGCCAACCGCACCAGCATATGGTCTCACAAGGGGTCTGAGGATCTCATCTCGGTACCTAATGGCAGTCAGGCTACCTCTGGCGAGCACATGGAGGAAGAAATGCCACCCCACACCATGACTGACCCACGCCAAACCGGTCATGCTGGAGGATGTTGCAGGCAGCAGAACGTTCTCCACGGCATCTCCAGACTCTGTCACGTCTGTCACATGTGCTCAGTGTGAACCTGCTTTCATCTGTGAAGAGCACAGGGCGCCAGTGGCGAATTTGCCAATCTTGGTGTTCTCTGGCAAATGCCAAACGTCCTGCACGGTGTTGGACTGTAAGCACAACCCCCACCTGTGGACGTCGGGCCCTCATACCACCCTCATGGAGTCTGTTTCTGACCGTTTGAGCAGACACATGCACATTTGTGGCCTGCTGGAGGTCATTTTGGCCGGCAGGGATGTAGCTCAGTTGATAGAGCATGGCGTTTGCAACGCCAGGGTTGTGGGTTCGATTCCCACGGGGGGCCAGTATAAAAATACAATATAAAAAAATTAAATAAAAAATAGATGTATTCACTAACTGTAAGTTGCTCTGGATAAGAGCGTCTGCTAAATGACTAAAATGTAAATGTAAATTACACATATAATAATTATTATAATACCAGTGCCAATAAAATAAATCAATAAGATTGCATTGTAATTATTTTTTGTGTGTGTGTGTGTGTGTGTGTGTGTGTGTGTGTGTGTGTGTGTGTGTGTGTGTGTGTGTGTGTGTGTGTGTGTGTGTGTGTGTGTGTGTGTGTGTGTGTGTGTGTGTGTGTGAATTAAAGGGTCTGTCTATCCCAGTAGTCTGCATATTAGATGCAGTAGTTGGAGCACCTCTCCTATCTCTGATTGTTCTAGGTGTCTTTTGCCAGAGGTTACCTCAGCATATGTAGGCTGATGATCTGAATGATACATGGTGTGGACTGCGTCATGTGGTCCACTTCTCTGAAGGACAGTGTTCTGCCCGACCCTGGAGTAGTGGGCAGTGCTGTGTTGTGATGGGCCGGGTCCAGTAGAGCTGTGTTGTGACGGGCCGGGTCTAGTAGAGCTGTGTTGTGACGGGCCGGGTCTAGTAGAGCTGTGTTGTGATGGGCCGGGTCTGGTAGAGCTGTGTTGTGATGGGCCTGGTCTGGTAGAGCTATGTTGTGATGGGACGGGTCTGGTCGTGCTGTCCTGAGGCGGGTCTAGTCTGGTAAATCTGTGCTGTGGTGGGCCTGGTCTTGTAGAGCCGTGTCTGGCTCTTCTCTCCTGGGGATGGTGGGGGTACTGTTTCAGAAAGTGGAGCGGGGGGGCCTCTGTTGCTGGGGTGATGGGTGTGGGTCCCTGCCAAGTGTTGCATCCTTTAGGTCCTCAGCAAAGGTTCTGACACTGTCCTGATCAAGGTGTACATTATCATATAAATGTTCACGTCAGAGTGGGGTGGTGAGCCATTCTAACGTTGAGCAGTGAGGCACAGTCCACAGTGATCTGTTGATTTTATTTTGTCGATCAACTGTCCTGGGAAGTCTTTCCTTGGTAGGAGGGTGGACACAACTATGTTGGTCGTTGGGAACATAGCCTGGGCCCGCTCTGCCGCTCTTCTCACTGCCCCAGATACATTTTCACCTTTGGCATGAAGGTGGTTTGTGCCAGTGTGGATGATGATGTTGTCGGGGGTGTCAATCCTGGTCTGACTGAGTAGCTGCATTGCACTCTCAGTTGTAGGACACCAGAACTTATACACCTGGTGTCTAGGGAATAATCTTTCCTGGACCAAGAACTTCCCATTTGAATCAATAAGGATTGCAGTTGTTGGTGGTTACCTGGGCTGGAGCAGACTGGGAGGCTGGTAGGTTGACCTGGGCTGGAGCAGACTGGGAGGCTGGTTGGCTGACCTGGGCTGGAGCACACTGGGAGGCTGGTGCAGTGTCATCAGGCTGTGTGGTGGAGGTTATGCTGGTTATGCTGGTCTCAGGTTCTGCCTGTGTTGTACCAGGCTGGTGGACATGTTCTCTAGATGCAGAGGACATAATGACTAGCTGCTGGTTGAGGGGGTCAATGTACCTCTCTCTCTGCTCTAGCTCCTCTCTTGTTGTGCTCAGATGGTCTCTGAGGTCATCATTTGTCTGACTCAGTTTGTCCATTCTGCTTTCTAATTTAGCAATAGATCCTCTGCTCTCCTCCCTGAACGGTTTCATCTCTTATTTTAGTTTCTGGACAGTGTCATCCTCTTGAAGCTTGTTCTCTCTGAGTTCTATGACCTCTGCTTCAACTAGAGAGAGGGTGTTGTGGAAACGTTGCATAGCAGGGGTTCCTGATGTTGTAGGCATGTCCTTGGCTCTGTCTGCTGCAGGTGAGGTAGGTAGAGGGACACGGAGGGCTTCTTGCTGGGTCACAGAGACCGTTGGGGGGGGTGTTGGGGCTTTTCTCCATCATCTCCCTCCTTTACTTCTTCAGCTTCTGAGATGAGTTCAGCTTCTACTTCTAGGGCAGCAAACACATTCTCAAAAGCCTGGAGGCTTGAATCATTGCCTTGTATCAACACAGTTCCATTATTGTAGAAGTTGACTGTTTTGATATGTGTTGCTCTGGTCAGCTTCTTCAAAAATGCTGATCTGACAGCCTTGGCTGATGCATCTCTTTTTTTTGAGAAATGGAAATGGTTGCAAATAACCCTTTTCCATATGTGCCCTTGTTTTGGTATTAAATTTGCTCTTGTTTTGCAACTGGTAAGATCTGCAAACAGGCATTCATGTCCCATCATCAAACCTTTGAAACTTTTCTTATCCTTCTCCGTCTGGATGTCTGCTGGGTAAACAATTTCCATAGCAACGCTGGTGATGTTGTCTACAGTGTTGCAATAGAAGCCCACCTTTTCCCAAACAGTGTTGTTTGCCGGGGCGGCAGGTAGCTTAGTGGTTAAGAGCGTTGTGCCAGTAAACGAAAGGTCGCTGGTTCTAATCCCCGAGCCGACTAGGTGAAAAATCTGTCGACGTGCCCTTGAGCAAGGCACTTAACCCTAATTGCTCCTGTAAGTCACTCTGGATAAGAGCGTCTGCTAAATGATAATTTTTATGTTTTTATAATAGAGAACTGTTTTACTTTGATGACCTTTTGTCTTCTGTCTTTCTGTTGACTAGCTATTTTTTAAGTTTGTTAGCTTCTTTTAGGAGAGTCCCTAGCAACTGCTTAGCAACTGGTAACCAATCCAGCTAGCTAAGATAACTGCACAATTTAATAAAAATAGATACTTTTTCACAAGCCTGTCTTCTTCGTTTGTTGCTTGTTTTGTCTCCCATTCAGTCTTGCAGTTTTCTTTTTGTTTTTTCCAATGTACATTTCTAGATTTGTAGGAGCTCATTTTTTTTCAGCTGCTGCTCAATTTGGAACTCTCTCTCTCGCTCGGTCTCTCGCTCGCTCTGGGTCGGTCTCTCGCTCGCTCTGGGTCGGTCTCTCGCTCGCTCTGGGTCGGTCTCTCGCTCGCTCTGGGTCGGTCTCTCGCTCGCTCTGGGTCTCTCGCTCGCTCTGGGTCTCTCGCTCGCTCGCTCTGGGTCTCTCGCTCGCTCGCTCTGGGTCTCGCTCGCTCGCTCTGGGTCTCTCTCGCTCGCTCTGGGTCTCTCTCTCGCTCGCTCTGGTCGCTCTCTCTCGCTCTGGGTCTCCCTCTCTCCCTCTCGCTCTGGGTCTCGCTCTGGGTCTCTCTCTCTCTCTCTCTCTCTCTCTCTCGCTCTGGGTCTCTCTCTCTCTCTGGGTCTCTCTCTCTCTCTCTGGGTCTCTCTCTCGCTCTGGGTCGCTCTCTCTCTCTCTCTATTTCCCAGGCTGTGTGGTTCTGAACCAGTATGTGTGTGTTTCTGTGCAGGAAGGTAGTGTTGAACAATGGAATGAGCCTCAAGTCTCTAGCTGCTGACCTGCTCAATGTGTCTCTGGATAAATCCTTGGAGCTGCGCTGCAGTAACTGGGAGGCTGACCAGCTAACCCTAGAACAGGTACATGGGGATACCTGCTGGTGCTAATTAATACAGGATGGGGATACCTGCTGGTGCTAATTAATACAGGATGGGGATACCTGCTGGTGCTAATTATTACAGGATGGGATACCTGCTGGTGTTTTAATTATTACAGGATGGGATACCTGCTGGTGCTAATTAATACGAGGATGGGATAACCTGCCTGGTGCTAATTAAACGGATGGGAAACCTGCTGGTGCGAATTATTAACAGGATGGGATACCTGACTTGGTGCTAATTTATTACAGGATGGGATACCTGCTGGTGCTTAATTAGTTACAGGATGGGATACCTGCCTGGTGCTAATTATTACAGTAGGATGGGATACCTGCTGGGTGCTAATTATTACAGGATGGGGATACCTGCTGGTTGCTAATTATGTACAGGATGGGATACCTGCTGGTGCTAGTTATTACAGATGGGATACCTGCATGGTGCTAATTATTTACAGGATGGGAATACCTGCTGGTGCTAATTATTACAGGAATGGGATCCTGCTGGTGGCTAATTAATACAGGATGGGATACCTGCTGTGCTAATTTACAGGATGGGGATACCCTGCTGGTGCTAAATTAATTACAGGATGGGATACCTGCTGGTGCTAATTATTACAGGATGGGATACCTGCTGGTGCTAATTATTACAGGATGGGATACCTGCTGGTGCTAATTAATACAGGATGGGATACCTGCTGGTGCTAATTATTACAGGATGGGATACCTGCTGGTGCTAATTAATACAGGATGGGATACCTGCTGGTGCTAATTAATACAGGATGGGATACCTGCTGGTGCTAATTATTACAGGATGGGATACCTGCTGGTGCTAATTAATACAGGATGGGATACCTGCTGGTGCTAATTATTACAGGATGGGATACCTGCTGGTGCTAATTAATACAGGATGGGATACCTGCTGGTGCTAATTATTACAGGATGGGATACCTGCTGGTGCTAATTAATACAGGATGGGATACCTGCTGGTGCTAATTATTACAGGATGGGATACCTGCTGGTGCTAATTAATACAGGATGGGATACCTGCTGGTGCTAATTAATACAGGATGGGATACCTGCTGGTGCTAATTAATACAGGATGGGATACCTGCTGGTGCTAATTAATACAGGATGGGATACCTGCTGGTGCTAATTATTACAGGATGGGATACCTGCTGGTGCTAATTAATACAGGATGGGATACCTGCTGGTGCTAATTAATACAGGATGGGATACCTGCTGGTGCTAATTAATACAGGATGGGATACCTGCTGGTGCTAATTATTACAGGATGGGATACCTGCTGGTGCTAATTATTACAGGATGGGATACCTGCTGGTGCTAATTATTACAGGATGGGATACCTGCTGGTGCTAGTTATTACAGGATGGGATACCTGCTGGTGCTAATTATTACAGGATGGGATACCTGCTGATGCTAATTATTACAGGATGGGATACCTGCTGGTGCTAATTATTACAGGATGGGATACCTGCTGGTGCTAATTAATACAGGATGGGATCCATAGTGTGTCTGTGGTATGGAAAGATTGTTACTGTTCGTGTTTGAGATCGGACTGAGAAGAATAACTGATCTACAAATCTCCTTCATCCCAAATAACGAACCACTCATTATGTTATGAAGATGAGCGATCCTGTGCCCTACCTTTGCTTGCTCAGTGATTTCCCCCCCCCCCCCAAACCCGTTTTCTCTGATTTAACCCCCACCTCTCTCTCTCTGGTGACCCCTAGATGACGTCCCTCCCTCCCTCTCTCTCTCTGGTGACCCCTAGATGACGTCCCCCCCCCCTCCCTCTCTCTCTCTGGTGACCCCTAGATGACGTCCCCTCCCTCTCTCTCTCTGGTGACCCCTAGATGACGTCCCTCCCTCTCTCTCTCTGGTGACCCCTAGATGACGTCCCCCCACCTCTCTCTCTCTGGTGACCCCTAGATGACGTCCCTCCCTCCCTCTCTCTCTCTGGTGACCCCTAGATGACGTCCCCCCCCCCTCCCTCTCTCTCTCTGGTGACCCCTAGATGACGTCCCTCCCTCTCTCTCTCTGGTGACCCCTAGATGACGTCCCTCCCTCTCTCTCTCTGGTGACCCCTAGATGACGTCCCTCCCTCCCTCTCTCTCTCTGGTGACCCCTAGATGACGTCCCTCCCTCCCTCTCTCTCTCTGGTGACCCCTAGATGACGTCCCTCCCCTCCCTCTCTCTCTCTGGTGACCCCTAGATGACGTCCCCTCCCTCTCTCTCTCTGGTGACCCCTAGATGACGTCCCTCCCTCTCTCTCTCTGGTGACCCCTAGATGACGTCCCCTCCCTCCCCTCTCTCTCTCTGGTGACCCCTAGATGACGTCCCTCCCTCCCTCTCTCTCTCTGGTGACCCCTAGATGACGTCCCTCCCTCCCTCTCTCTCTCTGGTGACCCCTAGATGACGTCCCTCCCTCCCTCTCTCTCTGGTGACCCCTAGATGACGTCCCTCCCTCCCTCTCTCTCTCTGGTGACCCCTAGATGACGTCCCTCCCTCCCTCTCTCTCTCTGGTGACCCCTAGATGACGTCCCTCCCTCCCTCTCTCTCTCTGGTGACCCCTAGATGACGTCCCTCCCTCCCTCCCTCTCTCTCTCCCCTAGATGACGTACGCAGCCCGGGATGCCCAGGTGTCCATCGTCCTGTTCTTCCATCTGCTGAGCCTCCACTCTAACGCCACGCCCTCACCTGGCTGTGGGAGTGTCTACACCCAGCTGGCCAATCGCTGCCAGGGCCTGGTGGACACACCTTTCAGGGGGAGGGGCGGAGGAGAGGGGGAGGATGGAGGGAGAAGCGAGAGGAGACGGAGGAGTAGGGCGCTCCAGCAGCCTACTGAAAGCCCCGAGTCTGGGGACCAGCAAGTACCAGACCCCAGAAGGAACAGCAGGAGAAAACCGCTCGGTGTGGGCTACTCTGCTAGGTCAGTGGTTGGTCTGTCCAGGGATCTCTTTCACAGCACAGGCGCGTGGGGCAGACCGTTGTTACTGACCTCTGGACAATTGCCAGTTGTCAAGGTCATAATACAGAACTTTCCATAGTAAAGATCATCGCCCACATTTTGGGGAACATTGTGTCAAAGACTTGAGTAGTGTGATTCTGGGCAGCATTGGCTGGTTTTAGACATTTCCTGTGTGTTAAGGGCAGCTGTGTGTCCGTGTAGTGACTGATCAGGTTCCCGCTCGCTCTGCTTGTTGCAGGAAGTCCCCCCTCTATGACAACTGCTTCCTCCAAGCTCCGGATGGACAGCCCCTCTGTACCTGTGACAAGAAGAAGGCCAAGTGGTACCTGGATAAAGGAATCGGGGGTAAGCGGCAGCCACATGCGGCACTGGCAGTGCCAAGACTGACAGTATTTTCATATGAATTTAACAGTCGAATTGGAAAACACCACTATCATTTGGTGGTTTCATACTGTAAAATGTGGCGTAAAAATGAACAGGTAGCCCTTTACACTCGTACCCGTATATGGGTTGGAATGGTGTGTCCGTGGCGTAGCCCTTTACACTCGTACCCGTATATGGGTTGGAATGGTGTGTCCGTGCCGTGGCCCTTTACACTCGTACCCGTATCCGGGTTGGAATGGTGTGTCCGTGCCGTGGCCCTTTACACTCGTACCCGTATACAGGTTGGAATGGTGTGTCCGTGCCGTGGCCCTTTACACTCGTACCCGTATACGGGTTGGAATGGTGTGTCCGTGCCGTGGCCCTTTACACTCGTACCCGTATACGGGTTGGAAATGGCTAATTTGGGCAGTAATAAGCAGCTAAATGTGAACGTAGTGACTGGACAGTAACAAGCTATACATCAGGTCAGAGCTCTGGTTCTGGACAGTAACAAGCTATACATCAGGTCAGAGCTCTGGTTCTGGACAGTAACAAGCTATACATCAGGTCAGAGCTCTGGTTCTGGACAGTAACAGCTATACATCAGGTCAGAGCTCTGGTTCTGGACAGTAACAGCTATACATCAGGTCAGAGCTCTGGTTCTGGACAGTAACAGCTATACATCAGGTCAGAGCTCTGGTTCTGGACAGTAACAGCTATACATCAGGTCAGAGCTCTGGTTCTGGACAGTAACAGCTATACATCAGGTCAGAGCTCTGGTTCTGGACAGTAACAGCTATACATCAGGTCAGAGCTCTGGTTCTGGACAGTAACAGCTATACATCAGGTCAGAGCTCTGGTTCTAGACAGTAACAGCTATACATCAGGTCAGAGCTCTGGTTCTGGACAGTAACAAGCTATACATCAGGTCAGAGCTCTGGTTCTGGACAGTAACAGCTATACATCAGGTCAGAGCTCTGGTTCTGTTCTTCACAGCTCTGCATGGGTTTGGACTGACAGATTCTAGAGTTCCTGCTTTAATTATTTACTTATTTATTTACTTATTTATTGAAAGTTCCAGGAATTCTGCAACCCTGTTCTGAACAGAATGAGCCTATGTTTGTTTATTGTGAAGGAAATTTTCCGCGGTCATGACCTATTCTAGGCGCAAACAAAATTGAGATCTGTTAATCTGAATTGCTTTATGAAAGCCTAAATGCTGTAAAAGCTTATTTTATAACTTAGCTAGTCACGTTGGCAATGGAACACGCTTTCAAATCATGCCCACCTGACCCAGATGGCGATTTATAACGGACCGTTTTTTTGGGTTGCGTAAACAACAACAGTAACTGTGTGATGGCGGGGAGGCAGGGCTGCGTTCCAAACTAAACAACTAGTCTGCTTGCTCTAGTTCCTCAACAGCACAACTAGGAGAGATCAAACAAGCACCTTTATAGTTGAAGACTCTTCTTTGAGTCATAAAAGTGCATTGAAATGAGTTAGGAACTGTGCACACTTTGGAGAGGTGTGTGGCCACTTGGAGACACCAGTTAGTCCTCTCACTCAAACCCATGTCATTTTTCTGTCTTAAGTTGCACCTACATAACATTTTCCAGGAATAGTCTTATGTTACTGAATGTATCCAGTGTATTTTCAAATTTCGTTATCAACAAATGCGGTGAAAAGTACTGTAAAATGCACATAAAATCACCAGTGTAATGTTTGGATTCCAGTCTTGTGTCCTCACCTTTTTGGTCTAATGATTTTCCCCTCTCCCAACTGTTCCCTTTCAATTGCTACCATTGCTTATGTTCACACTTTTCAAATTTCTTCTGTAAGAAACATTTCAATTTGGCCCTATCCATATAGGCCCATTTCCAGGAATGTTAACCAAGTCCCAGGTGAGTTGATGTTGACGCTGACTCTTCTCCTGTCTTGCTCTCACTCCTCCTCCAGTGCTGCAGACTGAGGATCCCTTCATCGTGCGTCTGCTGTTTGAGCCGTCAGGACGTCCAGACTCCCAGCAGGACTACTATCTGACTGCCAAAGAGAACCTGTGTGTTGTGTGTGGCAAGAACAACTCTTATATCCGGTGAGGACAACCTGTGTGGGTTGGCCGGAACAACTCTTATATCGGGTTGGCCGGAACAAGTCTTATATCAGGTTGGCCGGAACAAGTCTTATATCAGGTTGGCCGGAACAAGTCTTATATCAGGTTGGCCGGAACAACTCTTATATCGGGTTGGCCGGAACAAGTCTTATATCAGGTTGGCCGGAACAAGTCTTATATCAGGTTGGCCGGAACAAGTCTTATATCAGGTTGGCCGGAACAAGTCTTATATCGGGTTGGCCGGAACAAGTCTTATATCAGGTTGGCCGGAACAAGTCTTATATCAGGTTGGCCGGAACAAGTCTTATATCAGGTTGGCCGGAACAAGTCTTATATCAGGTTGGCCGGAACAAGTCTTATATCAGGTTGGCCGGAACAAGTCTTATATCAGGTTGGCCGGAACAAGTCTTATATCAGGTTGGCCGGAACAAGTCTTATATCAGGTTGGCCGGAACAAGTCTTATATCGGGTTGGCCGGAACAAGTCTTATATCGGGTTGGCCGGAACAAGTCTTATATCAGGTTGGCCGGAACAAGTCTTATATCAGGTTGGCCGGAACAAGTCTTATATCAGGTCGGCCGGAACAAGTCTTATATCAGGTTGGCCGGAACAAGTCTTATATCAGGTTGGCCGGATGCTACACAGTCAGGCCTGTTATTAGTTATACTAACAACGTGAAGCTATGTCCCGATTCGCCACCCTTTTCTCAAGGTGAGTACCTGCACACTCCCCGTAGTGAATTTGAGGAGAGGAGTGGTGTAAGCATCGGCTGGAGGGGCCACCATGTGAGAAGGGTGGAGGGTCAAGACCTTTTTCACGTTGCAGCCATGACAGTCCATCCTAGTGGGGTAGGAGGCGTACGTGAATATATATCGGTGTTGGTTCCCCTCTGCATTGAAGGCCTATAGTATTAACTAGTTCCCCTCTGCATTGAAGGCCTATAGTGTTAACTAGTTCCCCTCTGCATTGAAGGCCTATAGTGTTAACTAGTTCCCCTCTGCATTGAAGGCCTATAGTGTTAACTAGTTCCCCTCTGCATTGAAGGCCTATAGTGTTAACTAGTTCCCCTCTGCATTGAAGGCCTATAGTGTTAACTAGTTCCCCTCTGCAAAAGACTTCTCAACAGCTTCTACCCCCAAGCCATAAGACTCCTGAACAGCTAATCATGGCTACCCGGACTATTTGCACTGCCCCCCCACCCCATCCTTTTTACGCTGCTGCTACTCTGTTAAGTATTTATGCATAGTCACTTTAACTCTACCCATATGTACATATTACCTCAACTACCTCAACTAGCCGGTGCCCCCGCACATTGACTATGCAACGGTACCCCCCTGTATATATAGCCTCCCTACTGTCACTTTATTTTACTGTATATATAGCCTCCCTACTGTCACTTTATTTTACTTCTGCTCTTTTTTTCTCAACACTTTTTTGTTGTTGTTTTATTCTTACTTTTTTGTTTAAAATAAATGCACTGTTGGTTAAGGGCTGTAAGTAAGCATTTCACTGTAATGTCGGCACCTGTTGTATTCGGCGCATGTGACCAATAAAATTTGATTTGATTTGATTTGATTGAAGGCCTATAGTGTTAACTAGTTCCCCTCTGCATTGAAGGCCTATAGTATTAACTAGTTCCCCTCTGCATTGAAGGCCTATAGTGTTTAACTAGTTTCCCCTCTGCATTGAAGGCCTATAGTGTTAACTAGTTCCCCTCTGCATTGAAGGCCTATAGTGTAACTAGTTCCCCTCTGCATTGAAGGCCTATAGTGTTAACTAGTTCCCCTCTGCATTGAAGGCCTATAGTGTTAACTAGTTCCCCTCTGCATTGAAGGCCTATAGTTTAACTAGTCCCCTCTGCATTGAAGCCTATAGTGTTAACTAGTTCCCCTCTGCATTGAAGGCCTATAGTGTTAACTAGTTCCCCTCTGCATTGAAGGCCTATAGTGTTAACTAGTTCCCCTCTGCATTGAAGGCCTATAGTGTTTACTAGTTCCCCTCTGCATTGAAGGCCTATAGTTGTTACTAGTTCCCCTCTGCATTGAAGGCCTATAGTGTTAACTAGTTCCCCTCTGCATTGAAGGCCTATAGTGTTTACTAGTTCCCCTCTGCATTGAAGGCCTATAGTGTTTACTAGTTCCCCTCTCGTCTTACCCCTACAGGAAGAACATCGTCCCTCACGAATACAGACGTCACTTCCCCACGGAGATGAAGGACCACAACTCCCATGACATCTTGCTGCTGTGCACTTCCTGTCACGCGGCCTCCAACGTGCACGACGGCTTCCTAAAGCAGCAGCTGGCTGATGAGTACGCCGCGCCCCAGGTAGGGACCTCACGATACCGAGGTGCCGATACGAGATGTATTGAGAATTTGGATGTATCACTATTCTATATTTATTGTGATTTGATATGGAGATTTTTATTGTGATTTTGTGATTCGATACTGTGATTTTATTGCGATTCGATGTTCCAAACATTGCTCACCATGTCTGTTGCAGAGGGACAAGACTTGACAAGACATGTTGGCTCCCCATAAAAATAAATTAAAAAAACATTGTTTTGGGGTCAAAAATAATATTGCGATACTCAACTGTATGGATTTTTTTTTCCTACCCCCAGGGGTGTGAGGACGGGGTGCGTCTCCTGGAGGACTCTGACCGCAGGAGGGTTCGTTCTGCAGCCCGAGCCCTGCTCACCGTGGGGGACAGGCTGCCAGGGGCCAGGCGAGATGAGCTGCAGAAGGTCATAAGGGATTTCTTCAACGACACCGATGTGGAGCTGACGCCCGAGACACTGCAGAGGGCTGCAGACCTGGAGACTAGGTGAGGGTCCGCGCCATCTGGCCTTGATGGTCATCGTGTACTCTTAACTTGTACCCAGTACAGCCTCCGCTCTGAGCCAGTTCCTATCTAGGTTCCTTCTCCTAGGACCTTTGTCCTGCTTCTGCTTGCTATTTGGTATCCAGGTCAGGTATCTGTCAAGCTGTTTTTACAGTGGGGGAAAAACGTATTTAGTCAGCCACCAATTGTGCAAGTTCTCCCACTTAAAAAGATGAGAGAGGCCTGTAATTTTCATCATAGGTACACGTCAACTATGACAGACAAATTGAGGAAAAAAAATCCAGAAAATCACATTGTAGGACTTTTAATGAATTTATTTGCAAATTATGGTGGAAAATAAGTATTTGGTCACCTACAAACAAGCAAGATTTCTGGCTCTCACAGACCTGTAACAACTTCTTTAAGAGGCTCTTCTGTCCTCCACTCGTTACCTGTATTAATGGCACCTGTTTGAACTTGTTATCAGTATAAAAGACACCTGTCCACAACCTCAAACAGTCACACTCCAAACTCCACTATGGCCAAGACCAAAGAGCTGTCAAAGGACACCAGAAACAAAATTGTAGACCTGCACAAGGCTGGGAAGACTGAATCTGCAATAGGTAAGCAGCTTGGTTTGAAGAAATCAACTGTGGGAGCAATTATTAGGAAATGGAAGACATACAAGACCACTGATAATCTCCCTCGATCTGGGGCTCCACGCAAGATCTCACCCCGTGGGGTCAAAATGATCACAAGAACGGTGAGCAAAAATCCCAGAACCACACGGGGGGACCTAGTGAATGACCTGCAGAGAGCTGGGACCAAAGTAACAAAGCCTACCATCAGTAACACACTACGCCGCCAGGGACTCGAATCCTGCAGTGCCAGACGTGTCCCCCTGCTTAAGCCAGTACATGTCCAGGCCCGTCTGAAGTTTGCTAGAGTGCATTTGGATGATCCAGAAGAGGATTGGGAGAATGTCATATGGTCAGATGAAACCAAAATAGAACTTTTTGGTAAAAACTCAACTCGTCGTGTTTGGAGGACAAAGAATGCTGAGTTGCATCCAAAGAACACCATACCTACTGTGAAGCATGGGGGTGGAAACATCATGCTTTGGGGCTGTTTTTCTGCAAAGGGACCAGGACGACTGATCCGTGTAAAGGAAAGAATGAATGGGGCCATGTATCGTGAGATTTTGAGTGAAAACCTCCTTCCATCAGCAAGGGCATTGAAGATGAAACGTGGCTGGGTCTTTCAGCATGACAATGATCCCAAACACACCGCCCGGGCAACGAAGGAGTGGCTTCGTAAGAAGCATTTCAACATCCTGGAGTGGCCTAGCCAGTCTCCAGATCTCAACCCCATAGAACATCTTTGGAGGGAGTTGAAAGTCCGTGTTGCCCAGCGACAGCCCCAAAACATCACTGCTCTAGAGGAGATCTGCATGGAGGAATGGGCCAAAATACCAGCAACAGTGTGTGAAAACCTTGTGAAGACTTACAGAAAACGTTTGACCTGTGTCATTGCCAACAAAGGGTATATAACAAAGTATTGAGAAACTTTTGTTATTGACCAAATACTTATTTTCCACCATAATTTGCAAATAAATTCATTAAAAATCCTACAATGTGATTTTCTGGATTTTTTTTCCTCAATTTGTCTGTCATAGTTGACGTGTACCTATGATGAAAATTACAGGCCTCTCTCATCTTTTTAAGTGGGAGAACTTGCACAATTGGTGGCTGACTAAATACTTTTTTTCCCCCACTGTATAATGAGGCCTTTATGAAGAAATGGAGTTGATTGATTACCCTGCCCTCTCCCAGGATCTTCAACGAGAGCTACGTTCCCCACGGGCTGAAGGTGGTGAAGGCGCACGCTAAGCGGGGCCTGAAGGGATTAATGGAGCTGGAGGGCTGCTGGAGGCAGCATTTCCTGTCTACCATGACACCTCGCTACCTGCCTCCTCTCTGGTCCGTCAGCCACAACCACGACAAGTTCCTACGCAAGTACGGAGAGGACCTTCCCATCCAGCTTAACTGACCTACAGTCGCCACACTGTCAGTCTTAGCCTGAAAGGTCTGTCTGGTCCCCAGGCTGGATCTCCATCAGCTGTTGCAGCAGCCTCTACCTGGGGTCTACTCAGTAGCCCAGAGAGCAGACTGACTGACTGGGTCTACTCAGTAGCCCAGAGAGCAGACTGACTGACTGGGTCTACAGGGGAGGGGAGGGATTCTGGGTGTTCAGTCCTCCTCAGTCTACTGTTGGCTGGATGAGGACGGTCACCCTGACCCTGACCCTACAGTACCCTGACCCTGACCCTACAGTACCCTGACCCTGACCCTACAGTACCCTGACCCTGACCCTACGGTGCCCTGACCCTACGGTCACCCTGACCCTACGGTGCCATGACCCTGACCCTACGGTCACCCTGACCCTGACCCTACGGTGCCCTGACCCTACGGTGCCTGACCCTCGGTGCCGACCCTACGGTGCCTGACCTGACGGTGCCCTGACCCTACGGTGCACCTGACCCTACGGTCACCCTGACCCTAACGGTGCCCTGACCTACGGTACCCTGACCCTACGGTGCCCCCTGACCTACGGTGCCCTGACCCTGACCTACGGTGCCCTGCCTGACCCTACGGTCACCCTGACCCTGACCCTACGGTGCCCTGACCCTACGGTCACCCTGACCCTGACCCTACGGTGCCCTGACCCTACGTTGCCCTGACCCTACGGTCCCCTGACCCTGACCCTACGACCCTGACCCTCCGGTCACTGACCTGACCCTACAGTACCCTGACCCTACGGTCACCCTGACCCTAAGACGACCCTACGGTCACCCTGACCCTACGGTGCCCTGACCCTACGGGCCTGACCCTACGTCACCTCCGACCTACGGTGCCCTGACCCTACGGTGCCTGCCCTACGGTCACCCTGACCCTACGGTGCCCTGACCCTACGGTACCCTGACCCTACGGTGCCCTGACCACTACGGTCCCCTGACCCTACGGTGCCTGACCTACGGTCACCCTGACCGACCTACGGTGCCCTGACCCGACGGTGCCCTGACCCTACGGTGCCCTGACCCTACGGTGCCCTGACCCTGACCCTACGGTGCCCTGACCCTGACCCTACGGTGCCCTGACCCTATACGGTCCCTGACCCTACGGTGCCCTGACCCTGACCCTACGGTGCCCTGACCGACCTACGGTGCCCTGACCACGTGACCCTGACCCTGACCCTACGGTGCCCTGACCCTGACCCTACGGTGCCCTGACCCTGACCCTACGGTGCCCTGACCCTACGGTGCCTGACCCTGACCCACGGTGCCCTGAACCCTGACCTACGGTGCCCTGACCCTGACCCTAACGTGCCCTGACCCTACGGTGCCTGACCCTGACCTCGGTGCCCTGACCCTACGGTCCCTGACCCTACGGTGCCCTGACCCTACGGGTGCCTGACCCTGACCACGGTGCCCTGACCCTAGGTGCCCTGACCCTACGTGTCCGACCCTACGGTGCCCTGACCCTGACCCTACGGTGCCCTGACCCTACGTACCCTGACCCTGACCTACGTACCCTGACCTACGGTCACCCTGACCCTACAGTACCCTGACCCTACGGTAACCTGACCCTACGTGCCCTGACCCTACGGTACCCTGAACCCTACGGTGCCCTGACCCTACGGTGCCCTGACCCTACGGTGCCCTGACCCTACGGTCACCCTGACCCTGACCCTACGGTGACCCTGACCCTACGGTGCCCTGACCTACGGTCACCCTACACGCCTACGGTGCACCTGACCCAGTGCCCTGACCTACGGTGCCCTGACCTACGGGCCCTGACCCTGACTACGGTGCCCTGACCTGACCTACGGTGCCCTGACCCTACGGTGCCTGACCTGACCACGTGCCCTGACCCTGACCCTCGTGCCCTACCTGACCCTACCCTGACCCTACGGTGCCGACCCTGACCCTACGGTGCCTGACCCTGACCCTACGGTGACCCTGACCCTGACCCACGGTGCCCTGGACCACCCTACGGTGCCCTACCCTACGGTTCCGACCCTGACCTACGGCCTGACCTACGGTGCCTGACCCTACGGTGCCCTGACACAGACCCTACGGTGCCTGACCACCCTACGTGCCCTACCTATGTTGCCTGACCCTACGGTGTCCTGACCCTACGGTGCCCTGACCCTGGCCCTACGGTGCCTACCCTGACCTACGTGCCCTGACCCTGACCTAAGGGCACGTGTTGAATACCACAGAGACTAATGGCCTAATAGGCCCAGAATTTGTCCCCATAAATGTTTTATTTATTTTTTGCAGAGAATTGCTGAGATGTTGCCTGCATCCCAAATGGCCCCCTATTCCTTATATAGTGCACTACATTTGATCAGGGCCATGTGAGATGCCCCCTATTCCTTATATAGTGCACTACATGTGATCAGGGCCATGTGAGATGCCCCCTATTCCTTATATAGTGCACTACATTTGATCAGGGCCATTTGAGATGCGGCCTAACTGGAGTCTGAGGAGAGAGACTGCCTTCGTTCTGACCGAGGGAAAAGAAGCCAGCATCAAGAACACTACCTTGATACAATTTTGCAGAATTCATGTTAAAATCCTATTGGACAAAACACGATGGGTTCAGGGTTGTCGCGATACCGGTACTCAGCAGTATCACGGCAAGGAAACAAAACAGGAAGCGGACTAAATGTCCTGAGGAAAACACTCCGAATGTTGGAGACAAGCAGCCTGATGTCACCCAGAATCACGTTTATCTTCCATGCTAGGTATCGTAGTATCACCTTACTGGTATCATGATGACCCTGCTATGGTTTGGTTTCCCAGATCCAGATTTAAAACTAGTCCTAGCCAAAAATGCCATAGGAGACTAGACTTAATCTAGGCCCAGGAAACTGGCCCTATACAGTGCATTGGGAAAGTATTCAGACCCCTTGACTTTTCCCACATTTTGTTACATTACAGCCTTATTCTAAAATTGATTAAATTGTTTTTTTCCTCATCAATCTACACACAATACCCCATAATGACAAAGCAAAAATAGGTTTTTAAATAAATGTTTACACAACATTTTTTTGAAATATCACATTTACATAAGTATTCAGACCCTTTACTCAGTACTTTGTTGAAGCACCTTTGGCAGCGATTACAGCATCGAGTCTTCTTGGGTATGACGCTACAAGCTTGGCACACCTGTATTTGGGGAGTTTCTCCATTTTCTTCTCTGCAGATCCTCTCAAGCTCTGTCAGGTTGGATGGGGAGCGTCGCTGCACAGCTATTTTCAGGTCTCTCCAGAGATGTTAGATCGGGATCGAGTCTGGGCTCTGGCTGGGCCACTCAAGAACATTCAGAGACTTGTCCCGAAGCCACTCCTGCGTTGTCTTGGCTGTGTGCTTAGGGACGTTGTCCTGTTGGAAGGTGAACCTTCTCCCCAGTCTGAGGTCCTGAGTGCTCTGGAGCAGGTTTTTATCAAGGATCTCTCTTTACTTTACTCCGTCTCCCAGTCCCTGCCGCTGAAAAACATCCCCACAGCATGATAATGCTACCACCATGCTTCACCGTAGGGATGGTGCCAGGTTTCCTCCAGACGTGACGCTTGGCATTCAGGACAAAGAGTTCAATCTTGGTTTCATCAGACCAGAGGTCATGGTCTGAGAGTCCTTTAGGTGCCTTTTGTCAAACTCCAAGCTGGCTGTCATGTGCCTTTTACCGAGGAGTGGCTTCCGTCTGGCCACTCTACCATAAAGGCCTGATTGGTGGAGTGCTGCAGAGATGGTTGTCCTTCTGGAAGGTTCTCCACAGAGGATATCTGAAGCTCTGTCAGAGTGACTATTGGGTTCTTGGTCACCTCCCTGACCAAGGCCCTTCTCCCATGATTGCTCAGTCTTGGTGGTTCCAAACTTCTTCCATTTAAGAATGATGGAGGCCACTGGGTTCTTGGGGACCTTCAATGCTGCAGAAATGTTTTGGTACACTTCCTCAAATCTGTGCCTCGACGCAATCCTGTCTCTGAGCTCTACAGACAATTCCTTCTACCTCATGGCTTGGTTTTTGCTCTGACATGCACTGTCAACGGTGGGACCTTATATAGACAGGTGTGTGCCTTTCCAAAGCATGTCCAATCAATTAAATGTACCACCGGTGGACTCCAATCAAGTTGTAGAAACATCTCAAGGATGATCAATGGAAACAGGATGCACCTGAGCTCAATTTCGAGTCTCATAGCAAAGGGTCTGAATACTTATGTAAATAAGGTACATTTATTTCAGTTTTGTATTTTTTAATAAATTCCTAAAAACCTGTTCACTTTGTCATTATGGGGTATTGTGTGTAGATTGAGGATTTTTTTTATTTATTTAATCAATTTTAGAATAAGGCTGTAATGTAACAAAATGTGGAAAAAGTCAAGGGGTCTGAATACTTTCTGAATGCACTGTGTATTAGTTTTCACCAGTTTCAGAAAATCATGTATTTTAGACTAAGCTGAAACCTGCTTTTAATTATCAGTAAATATGAATTATAATTTCCCCTGCAGGTTTTCAGTCCTAACGATAATTACTATGCATTTGTGAGTGTGCAGAAATCAAGTTTGCTTTGCAATGGTAGCTTTAATTTTTGAAAACACAATGGCAGCGCATTGTCGATCTTCTTTAATAGATCAGACAAAGCTATGAATTTTATAACCAATAAGCCGTTAAGAATTGATCCCAGATGACGACCAGCCATTGTCTGAAATGACATAATGTCAAAGTGGAATTATTTTTTCAACATTTTTACAAATTAATTACAAATGAAAAGCTTAAATGTCTTGAGTCAATAAGTATTCAACCCCTTTTTGTTATGGTAAGCCTAAATAAGTTCAGGAATGAAAATGTGCTTAACAAGTGACATAAGTTGCATTGACTAAATCTATGTGCAAGAATAGTGTTCAACATGATTTATGAATGACTACCTCTTCTCTGTACCCCAATGAAAACAATTATCTGTAAGGTCCCTCAGTCGAGCAGT